CAGTTGGGTGGCCTGTTATCAACTGTTCTCAAGCTTACATCTCGAAGACACGTCGGGGCGAATTGCCAAGAAATCCGTGTGTTTTTTTTTTTTTAGAAGAAAGAGATTGTTAAAAAAAACCAGTTGAATGTCCATGATTTTTATTATATTATATAGTTGCCTAAACTACTATTAAAGTTTTTTAAGTAAGATGAAACTCTCTAGAAAATTAACTAAAACCAACAGAGCAAAATAATTACACTAAAAATTTAACGCGGTTTATAATTAAAAACCTTTTACCCAAAGAAAGTTCAAGTTAAAGAGTGACAAACTTCTCAACGAATAACAGTACATCATTGAACACTTTCAGTTAACTATTAAGTCTACTGTGAACAAAGTTTTCTGTACCTTCAATGTGTTCGCAAAGTATTATTCTCAGAAAAGTCGACATGAATGTTGAGGGATCTACACCTTGAGGGCGACGAGCGTGATGGTTTCAAAGATAAATACGCACAGTACTGTCATGAAGTACCAGTAAGAGCCATGACTTTCTGACCTTACCTAAAGAATAACGAAATCCTCAGAATTTTTATGCACAATTCATTTAGAACCATTCTTTCATTTTCTATGCAATTTTCTTTCTATTTAAATTGATTATTTACACTACCTTTCTATTCTACTCGTCACGATTTTTAAAATCTTTCGTCTCGTTAAAAAGCTTTTTTTTCTCGACAAAGGGGTCTTTAAATAATACGATCGATACGTTATCATTTTTACTTTCTCTACTCTGTACAAATTCAAATAGATTATTGAATAAATTTTTTTTCCAGTAGAATATACTTCATAAACTATTTAATCTGTATTTGATAAAATTTTATAACAATTTCACTTACTTTATGTAGAAAAATATCACTACATCTTTGTCATTTGTGAGTTGCTACTCTTAAAAGGTCGATTTTATATTGCTTGAAATATTATATAAATGCTAGTTTACCATGCCTTATCCGTATAGTAATAATGGTTAGTTTATCATTTTATAGATTACTTAAAAAAAATAATTTATTTTTTCATTTCCTTGATGCTTCAATAATCTACATGATATTGGTGCCAATCTTTTTTTCTTTTCACGTAAAAAATATGAACACATTTAATGATATCAATTGAACGATTTCAATGCGAAACAAAACGTATAGAAAATATATTCACAATGAATACACTAGAGAAACCACTGAGCGCAGTCGAAGAGTAAATAAAACACGTGTTAATAATAAACCACTTCTTCAAGTATTTAACATATGTTACAAATGACGAGAGAGAAAAACTGAAAGACGTGTGTATGTAATGCAAATTACGAGATACCGCATTACTTGTACGGGAGCCCGGCGCCGCATTGCCACCGCAGGAGATCATATCCCTACTGAGTCAGACGCACGAGCCGCATCCGCAGCCCCTCGCACTCGTCCCCCATTTTACCTGTCTATTTATCCCTGTCTCGTAGAGTGTCGAACCCAGGACACGACCTTTCTTCGTGATGCATTGGGAATACAGAGAAGAATTTGGCGATCTTGGTCACGTATTGGCGTGACCGATCGTCATGAATATCACGATAATAAAAAAAACCACCCCTTTACTTCTCTTCCCACCCTGACTATACTTGCTTAGTCACTTTAGCATGCTGCACATTTCGATGAATAAAAAACAACTTTACGCAAATTTCCGTATACAGTTGTCGTTGATTTCTCCATCGTTTATACCGATTATTCATCGATCACAATATCGATACACCGGTAATTTTTAACCACTTTCACACGATACATTACCGATTGAATAATAAATAATTATTGCTGGTTGATGAGTTTAAAAATTTATGTACATATAGAGATGCTGATAATAATGGTAGTTAGCTGTAAAAGTAGCAATTAAGCTCACTTGGTTCAGTAAAACGGACGTAAGAATAAGGTTAAGTCGCGTGTTGACCGAGGTAAACCAAAGGAAGCGGGCGCACGAGACTCCCGTGCGGAGCTCAACGTTTCGCCTCACTGCCGGGCTCACTGCAGCTTGTGACGCACCACCCTCTTCTCTGCACCCTCCGTCGCACCAACCCCGTGCTTGCTTTCTCTCTGTTTCACTCCCACTTGCTCACTGTCTTTTACCACCTCTATATCTGCAACCCTTTCACACCCCCTCACGTCGTAGCCGCGCAGTTGACGCTGTTCTCTACTCCTGAAGTACACAAGGCTTACAGGATGGCCGTGGCCGGGCCAACGGCGCACACCTGCGCCGTCCCCTCCAAAGCACATCACGGTCGTCAGCTCTCTGTTGTGCTAGGAAACACGCCAGTCCTATTACTGCCCTTACTATCGTTAGTGAAGCTCAACACGGAAAAAAAAGTGATGTAAAATCTACATGCGTAGGTGTAATTTTTATATCAAAAGTATAGTTAAAAAAAATGCAGTTAATTTTATTCTGGTTAAATGATGTTAAATCTACAATAGCATTTGCCGTAGAATTTACAATAATATTTTGCAGTATTTTTTACCACAGTTTTATGTTAGTTTGACATCAAATTTTTTACAAACATAACTATAGCATTTTACTAACCAGAAAAGATAATGAGTAATGTTTTGAATTATCATCAAATAATTGTAATTACGAGTCATTAAGAAAACTGAGGAAAACAGTTTACAACACTTTAACAATTTACTGGTCATGAATTTTATTTCAAAATAGAAAATTCCATTGACAATACAAATTTCATTACATGAAAATATTATAATGAATACCTAGTTGTAATCATCAATGAGCCATTTTTATTTATTAACAAACATTTTATTATATTTCCTAATGAAGAAATATTTACTAACTTGTTCTTAGTACAATTTTTGAAACTTTTCATTACTTTATACGCATGATAATGACTGTTAAACCCGAGTGTTGTATAATGATTGATACAGAAGTAAAATTTTCCATTAATTTGCAGAACGTTTACTATGATTCCAAATTCTGGTCCTTCCTGACTTAAGTCTACAACTATAATAGAATCTTTTTCAAATCTTTGACCCATAATTTCTATCCATTTTAGAGCTTTGACATTGGAATTAGTACCAAATACAGATTTTATATGATTATCAATGTTATAATTAGGTATAATTGGACCATTAATGTATTTTTGAATAATACAAGGATTATAATTTGTAAAACACATTTTTAATTGATGCCTTAAAGTCAAAGTTAATAATATATTTTTCATTGATCCGGATATATTTGCGGTAGATTTTAATTCATGATTTTTAGACTCAAATCTCATAGACCATAAATGCATTAGTGGTCCACATTTCAACATAATTGCAGGATAGTGAAGTTTTATATGAAATTTAAATTGTAGATGAGAAGCAAATTTTAAATACAAACTTAAAAACTCTTCAATCAATGTTTTAAACAATACAACATGACTTCTCAACACTCTAGGTGATGTTATTATATCAACTATTTGTCTTAATTTCAGATATAATTGCCAAACACAGTTATCCTCTTCTACAAATTCACCAACCATTAATCCAAAATAACGTACAAAAAAGAGCATTTCTGCAGCAGACATTTTAATTTGTATATGATCGGCTGATATAAATGGAGGCATATTTGAAAGTTCTAGTTTACCATAATTGAATGTATCGATTCTAGAATTTAGAGTGTCTAAAGAAAATCGATTCTCAACAAAAATTAAGTGATTTAAAACAATGACCATTGTATAATTTGCAGTGCCTTCCAACACATCGTGCATAATATCAACAGTCTGATTTATGCAAACATGGAAATCATCTATTTCATTAAAAATACATTTTTCTTTAATACCTGTCAGTGAATAATTGTTTATTTTTAGACTCTTTTCATATTTTCTGGACTACGCAAATCCTTACATTTTCAGTAGTTTGATTATTCATTTCAAGATAAGGAATTTCGCATATTCTACAGCAATAGTTTGCACTGAAGCATTCTACAAAACCGAATATTGAATGCAATCCCAAGTTGTCACCAATAATAGCTCCACATTCAAAATATATCTTAATATTTTCATTTTTAATAGATATTGTTATACCATTTTTTTTCAGATCATTTAATTCTTCAATTAATTTTGCAAATATTGCTCTATTGCCAAATTCTTTTCGGTCATTAGAATAGAATAAACAAACAAGAAAAATACTACTTATCGTGAAGCATACTGCTTTGGAAGACATGGAATAGACATATATACAACACCTAATTTGTTGTTTCCTGCATGACTTCCTAAAGCATTACCGACCTCCAAATCATCGAAAAAAATAAAAAGTGGTAAAAAGAATTTAGTTCCATGATTTTTAGTCTTAGAACGCCAAAGATCACCTTGTATAAAATTAGATAAAATTTCTGGTTCATTTTTCAAATGCTCAACGTACTTTTTAGTTTTATCGTATAGTTCAGGTATACTAAAAATCGATTTTAATGTATTTTTTAAAGGAATATATTGTCCAAACACATCCTTTGGTTCTGAAAACAATAATTCCATTGCGTTTAGATTCTACAATTCTTGAACCAATTTTATATTGAATAGGTAATACAAGAAATCCTTTGTCATAAAAATATTTTAATCTTCTATGCTCAGTTGAAAATATTTCAAAACAACTAATAGCAGAATTAAGTATACGTGGAATATCATAATGACAACTTGTTCACATTATTTATTAAATAATATTGAATTTGTTTTATTATATATGGAACGTAAAGTTTTCTAATAAATTTTGTCAATTCTTCAACGATGAACTGAACACAGTTTCGTGGTATCATTGAGTTGTTATACAATGATAACCAGAATTTACCCAAAAATGTTTCTAAATTAATAGAAAAAATCATCAAATGTCATATTCATTTGAATATGTAAAAATGAATGTGATAAATTATAATTTATAGTCTTTTAACATTTAATTTTTATATCTATTTAAATCACTTATAAGACGATTGACACATGTAAATGATGAAGTTTTTTTGTAACTTCATAAATGTATTTTTCTAGAAATTCCCAAACGTGTTCACACTCTACTGAGTAAGTTGCATTCAATGCGTGTATGATTTTAAAACATGTGTCTATTGCTTTTAAGGGGGTAGGTAAAACATATCGCTGATCATTTATTACTACAAACGAACTTTCGATGTTATCTAATAGTCCAATGATGACTACAAAAGGCTGAAGAGTCAATTTATGCTGCTTGTAAATCCTAATTTTGCTTTCTATATATGGTTGTAGTTCATCAATAGTCTGTAGAAAAAAAACAATAAAATTGAAACTGAAACTTGAATTGCAATGTTAAAAAAAATTACACAGAGATTGTAATATTTTTAATTCAAAAAATTCTGAAACACTTCGTTTTTGAAGGAGTTGAAATTCATAAAAATTTATTTACCTCTGCATGAAAAAGAAATGATTGCTTAATGTCAGTTATATTTGGTCTCCAATGTTTTCCTGATTTTTTAGATTTCTTGTTTATTGTACCCAATAGTAATGGAAGTAATTCAAGGGCAATAATCTCAATATTACCAAGATCTTTATAGAAAATATAGTCATGAAAATTACAATTAACGTTAATATTTAAGTCGTTAAGACAAATGAAGTTACCTGAATCGTTCGCCAATAATATATTATTAGTCTTGAGGTATTGCGATACTTGATAATCTTTTCGTTTCTTACTAATATTAATAATTTTTTTTGCAACCGATGGCCATTTTAGAATTAATTTATCAACTGCCTCTTTATGAATTTGTTTAAAATCTGATTCAAACTGTAACAGAAAATTTCATTTGCAAACCTTTGTATTTAATACATGCATCAATATATTATAATACTTTTATTCAGAGGAATTAACTATGAAATTTACCATAAATAAGCAGATGGTGTCTTCAATACATTGAATGTATTAAAATACATATCAATTCGTTCTGTATGATAAGCCAATCTTTCTTTAAAACTTTCTTGCCATTTTAAAAGCACTTCACTAAATGGTTCTATATGATTTTTAAGCCATAATAATGAATCACTCAACGTAAAATATCGTTTGTATTGCTTATTTCATCTATAATTTAAAAAAATAATCAATAGAGATATTAGAATAGTAAACATTATTGAATGAATAAATTAAAAAAAAGCTAATTTCATCATTTTTAAAAAACAAAAATATTGAATAGTGTAAGTTATTCGAATTTAAAAAATATTTACGTTGATCTATATTAGAATCAGAAGTAGGATGTCTAATTCAAATAAAGTTTTCTCAGATTGATATATTATCATACAGAAGTCCTCTAGCACCAATAGGACCATTTGTGCCTTTTGTCCAGGGTGTATAATATAAGTCTTCTTCTGTCATCAGGAAATAATCTACAGATCTTTTGTCAACTTTTTAAATCTCTCAGCTGTAATCCTAATTGAAAACAATTATAAAGAAAGTTAATTTTCAACTTCCCAAAACATAATTTAAAATATTCCATCAATAGCTACGTACTTGAATTTTTTACTGTTTTCTAATTCTGATTCAATGATTACACTAGTGAGTAACCGTCGGTTTATTGTGTGTCTAGATTAAATTCTGCTAGAATAAGCCTTCCACGAAAACATTTTAATATAGTTGAATTTCATTTTGAGAGTTTCCTATACCAATATTCATTGACACAGAAAAAAGTAATAAATACATTTGAAAGGAAGAACTGGAAATCTTACTGGATGATGTTGAAGACAGAGGCATAATAGGAATTTTCGATGTTGGAAGATTTTGAAGTTGGTGCAGTGGAATTGGAGAGAGTGTTTGTTTCATAGAAATAGATATGAGATTTGAAATAAAAACTTCATTAAGACCGTGATAGTTGATTCAAGCAAAAGATTTTGACTCTTCTAAACTATCATCATGATATTACATTATATTGTTTTTGCAATTATATGAATACTTTCGTTCTTAATAATAAAACTACGATTTATTATATTTCGACATAAATTGTTTATAATGTTCTTTTAAGAATTATATCTTAATCCAATTTGTGGAATTGAAGTTCAACATAAGGGCATCAGTTAAATTAGTAACAACTGCTTTATCAACTATATTGACTGTAAAAGTAACAAAATTTGAGATGAATATAATTATATAGAGAATTGAGTTTAACCTAAAAAATTTTTTGAGTGAAACTATTAATTCCTCTGAACACTAATTATTATAAATAATCAATTTTTCATATTTAAATTTGAATAAAGATACTATTGTTGAATAGGTTTTTTTGTACTTACTGTTGAAATGAAACGCAATTAATTCTAGATTCCACTTTTTTAAAAGTTGTTTAACAAACTCATCCATTGTTACAAACTTAACACACACTTATACACAAATATCACTTTAATGTTGACATGGAACAGACAATTTTGATTTAATAACAATCTCATATGATATCCATCACCTTCTCGGTTTTTACACAAAGATAATATGTACACTATATTTTTATAATGTATTTTCACGAACATCTACGTTGTCGATAGAAAATCCACGCTGAGCAGCGACTAAATATACGAAATTTTATTTTGTTTTCCACTAACAATGTGATCTGTATCTCTTCTCAGAAACTGAGCTCAGGCGGCAAGACATCACAACAAAACAAGCGTGAGACTCGCAGTAGCGACGCGTGTCTAGATATTCTAAAATTACTCGAAACAGTTGATCAACTCTATTATTGCGATTTATTTAATTCTAGCGTACTCAAACAGTTACATAGATGGCGCTAGAATTTATAAATTCACAAAAATTTAATAATTGATCGGTAAATTATCGATCAATAATCAATGAAAAAATGTTGTTTTTTTCGTATTTTTTAATTATAATTCAATTATCAAAAAGGAAATCATTTTTAGTTATTCATTAACTAATTAATATCTTTATACTATCGCATTTTTAGTTCAATTAACAACAAATAATAAAGTATCCGAACCTAATTATCACGTTAATTTATTGCAGTTTGTTGTAAATCGTACCGCAGGCAGTTTTTTTACTGCACTTTTTATGTGAAT